CTTCAAGGAGGCATACTCGGAGTCGCAGAAGCGAGCCAACGCGACTGCGACTCCGGGGGAGGCACTCCTACAGTCTGTTGGCGGGATGGTGAATGCCCGCCTTCAAGGCTTGGAATCGCGCCTCCCACCAGAGCCGGTGGTGAGGCCGCCACTGGAAGCGGACAAGCGGCAGCCGCCGCCGCCCCGGCCTGAAGCCCAATCGGGCCTGGTGGCTGGGGCCATTAGAGGAGTCCCGGAGCCGGCACAAGCCCCCAAGGCTAGACCCAGGCCGGCCCGACGGGGGCCCAAAAAGGGCCCCAAAAATCGACCAACTGGCCCTCCTCCTCCCCCTCCCCCCTCTCAGGTATTGAGAGGACGGGCAGGTGGAGCCCAGCTGCACGAAGTTGCAGCGGGCCAGGAGGACAACGCTCCCCAGGCATCGGGGAGCATTGTCCAATGGTCGAAGGTGGTCGGCCGCAAGGCCAAAAGGAAGGGCAAAACCTCGGCCCCAGCCGGGGCTCCTCCACAGATTAGTGCGACCCGGCAGGGGGCTGTGGCTCCCCCCCCCACAAAAGCCGTCAAGATCGTAGCCCCCAAGACGGCTGCCATAAGCCTGACACTGAAAACGGGGGCTACGATCACAACAGCCGAAGGCCGAGTCACTGAGGCCAAATACGCGGAGGTCTTAGCTAAGGCTAAGGCCTCCATTAAACTTAGTGACTTCGGCCTTGAGACGGTAAGGATCCGGACAAGCATGACCGGATCCAAACTAATGGAAGTGGGGGGGGAGACCCCAGAAGTGACCGCAGACCGCCTAGCCTCCGAGCTAGTAAAAGTTATCGGAGACTGGGCGGACGTCGCCCGCCCGTCCAAACTGATCGACCTCAGGGTCACCGGCCTGGACGAGACGGTGACCCGTGAGGAAGTGGCGGAGAAAGTGGCGACGGCTGGGGGCTGCCCCCCCAGCGCGGTCAAAGTGGGCCTCATCAGGTCCAACTTCTGGGGTGGCGGCTCTGCCATTGTAAAGTGCCCCGCGACGGCTGCCAAGGCAGCCGTCAAAATAGGGAAGGTGGCCATTGGCTGGACCATGGCCACCATCAACGCGGTGCAGGCCCGGCCATTGAGATGCTACAAATGCATGATGCTGGGCCACACTCGCGCCCTATGCCCAACGGAAGCGGAGAATGGTCAACTCTGCTTCCGTTGTGGCGAAGCGGGGCACAAGGCGGCCGCCTGCGAGGCGCCCTGTAAATGCACTGTGTGTGCCACCACAGGGCGCCCGCACACGCACGTGATGGGGGGCAATAAATGTGTGCCCCCCACCGTGAAAGGGAGGATGACCAGGCTGCGCCCTAGCCCAGCGCAGCCCAGCCAGCCGGCCGAGGAAGCTATGCAGGTGTCATAATGCCCGGACACCTGCATAGTGAATTCCTGCAGACCAACGCCAACCACTCCGCCCGCGCACAGGACCTGCTCATGCAGGTTCTGGCGGAGTCGAGAATTGCCGTTGCGGTCGTGGCCGAACCCTACGTGATCCCCCCCCATTCCAGCTGGGTTGGGGACACGGAGGGTTTGGTCGGCATGGTGGCGCCGCCGGCGGGCCAACAACGCCTCTCCCTTAGAGAGAGGGGTGCCGGCTACGTGGCGGCAAACTGGGGGGAAGTAGTTCTCATCGGAGTCTACTTCTCCCCAAACAGGAACCTCTCGCAGTTTGAGAGGTTCCTGGATGGCCTGGAGCCGGTGGTACTGAGGGCATCGCCGGCCCAGGTCATCGTGATGGGGGACCTCAACGCTAAGTGCGCGGAGTGGGGGTCCTCCATCACCGACGCGAAAGGGGCGCTTCTCCGGGACTGGGCCACAGTAATCGGCCTAGCCCCGGAGAACCAGGGCACTGCCTACACGTGCGTGCGCGGGCGGGGTGGCTCAGTGGTGAACGTAACGTTCGCCACCCCCGCCATCGGCGCACGCATAACGTGTTGGCGTGTCCTGGAGGAGGTG